GTCAGACTGTAGCAATTAAAAATGCTTGCGTTGTACATAAGACTACTCTGACTACATGGTGAAACACGTGTGACTTCAGCAGCTCTTTCTCTCAGTCTGACTGTATCCAGCCTACAAAACTTGTGGCCTTGGCGAAGTGAGAGAACAGCAGGAGTGCAGTTTTCTACAAGCTCAAGAATGCTGCAGCACAAAACTTTAGTCATGTCCTGGAAGGGAAAGTTTCCGGATGGGCAGCTGCCGGAGCCAATGCCTCACCACACTCTCTTAGGAACACGCCGCTCAGCATTTGTTGTTTTTGCTTCCTGCCCTTGGAGGTCATCCAGAAATGACGTGGACTGGTGCAACGCTATCTGGTGATCCTCCCCACCAATCCATTTATGTACAGCGGATTATCTAAATCGTTTTAACCAATGTGTGGCCAGAACGAGTAATCGAAAACTGTACGAAGCTTCTGTGATGCATTGGAGGTGGTTCCCCCCAAGACCATTTTTCTTTGTATGTCTTAAATACTTTTTTTTTTATTTTAAAAAGCACTGTTAAGAAATAATTTGAGAACACACAATGAACCTAAACCACATCCACTTACATGCAGCTAAGCATGCCTTAAAGATGGATTCATAGTTTCACGTTTGAATTTTGAGTTCACAGGCAGGTTTAAACAATATTTTTCTTTCGTGAATGAATAGGGGATTTGCTCAGTAGCACTAATCAATTGCCTTGGTTGTGCATAACGTGCTTGCAGACTACTCCTACCTTGCTGTGAGCAGGACACCAGAGCACCTAGTGAAGTTGTGTGGCATAAAAGTGTAGTTACTGCACATCGTGCCAACACAAAGTGTTACAAGGGTTGGACATAAAACTGAGTTTTCAGTGACTTTTAGATGAAAGGTCTCTTTTCATGACTAATGAACTACTGGACTCTCAATAAAGAGAAACATTTTCTATTTAGACTTCAGAGCTTGCCCTTTTCGAACACTAACATTGTATGAATTTGCAGTCTGTGCAAGCTCTAAATGCTTTGGGTCACTTCTAGATACAAGACTACTATTGTCCTATGTCAGTTACATGCCATTACTTATGGGGGAAGTGCATACATGACTCAGTATTCTAAAAAGAGAGGACAATACAGTCTCCTGCTTGTGTCACTAAGGGAACACCTGTGTGTTTGCTATGTGTACAGTGGGCAATAAGGCCCAGCCAGGTGCTATCTGACAACACAGCACAGTAACTGCTGCAAAAGGAATGCAAACAAACCTCAGGTTTGGTGATTACCAACATTCGTGCACTTGAAACGTCACTACTGAATTTGAAATACATGGGTTTGTGGTCTGGTGGTTGTACTTACACTGTGGCCGCATAAGAATGCATCAGAAGAAGATTTGATAAAAGCATGGGTGAGAAAACCACTCTTCTAAAGTTCTCTGTGCTAGCTGAGCTTAATGAAAACGGCCTTTCCAGGAGACTGAGGACAATTTATGCACGGGCAATCTGCTCAGCATTGTCTGTACTAGAATCAGCTTTTTCCTTCTGCATCTTAAAAAAATATCTGATACGTAATTTATTTTTTCAGGCAAGTAGAATGAAAGAGTAAAGGGCACCCAAACATTACAGAAGCATTGTCACATAGTACTGGATTGGCCATGGTTTGATATAGGGAATCCTCATATAATAAGGGTTTGTGGCAGAGGAACGGCACTGTTATCTGAAATACTGAAGACTACTAAATTTCTTCTCTGGTCCTCTTATAAATTTGTGTAATGCTTCCAAAGTCTGCTGCAGTATGTTTGTGTGCACATGCTGCATCTCATTTGATGGCTTTCTGCTTTCTTTCCATGTGTGGAGCAAACTTGAGATACCTATTCTGCTTTCAAAGAAAGAGAGGGCAGGAAAAAAATTTCTTGCAGAAAATAGTATTTTCATCATCTTCTCTAACCTGATTAGAAGAATTAGCACTAATTAAGTGTAAGAGGACTTGTAACCTAACTCACTGAATAAATTAAATTGTTTTAATTCGTAATATCACAGGACAGAAAGTATCAGCACAGTGACTCCGGTACACGCTTACCATAACACGAGCACATTCATGAACCACGGCATTGCTCTGGGGAGCTGGTTTCACAGTCGTGGGTCATTTCTAGCCAAGTGCTCTGGGCTGCTTTAATTGTGCTGTTTCATTGACAGATTTGCTCCACAAAAGGTGAATCGCCATTTCCTACTGCTGTCCAAGAGAGAAAGTGTTAGTAACAATAAAGCTCCAAGTCTGAATGACAAAGGCTCTACCCAGAATCCAAACTCAGTGGAAGTTCTCTGTTCCACCATAAGTAGAAAACAAATAACCTACTCAATCCTTTCTGAAACTGAGGCATCACTTTGCCCAGTTCTTACAGGGCTGAGATACATGCTGCTTTGTTTCATTGCTTTTACTTTGAATTACATTTTTTAATAAAAAGAAATGAATCTGCTTACATCTTGCAACAAGTTGTAAGCAGAATTAATGTGAGAGGCCAAGATTCTCACAATACCCCACCACAGGCAGCAGAACCATGCCACGGTGAATTTGGCTCTTGCACGCAGTAAGGCGTAGCATGGGAAACATCGCTGCAGTGACAGCGGCTGTAACATAAACACAGGAAAGGAGGACCCTGCTAAGCAGTGGGTGACCTCTAAAAGCACTGCCTATTCTTTACCTCCCAGCCTTGGTACGTCCCCACAGGTCGATGTTTTTGGTTAGCAAGGTGAACAGTGGGGGGGAAGGAGAGGACTGACAGGCTTGTAAAACCATCCCTGGCAAACATCTGCGTAATCGCCAGCAGCTACACCTCACCTTTGTCAGGTACAGACGAGCACACGCTGGCTTCCCTTCAAGAAGTTATAAATAGCAAAGTTCTGACAACAGCACAAACCATGCAAATTCCGCTTCTGAGCAGCAGAAGACCCAAATCCTTGGTGTTTTCAGGGAAAAGGAAGGAGGTGGGCTTGATGCATAATGAAGAAATTTAACTTCATTCAGCCTCTTTCCTTTGGTTTTTATCTATAGAAATAAGTATGTGTTAACTGGTAAAATTGTAGACAAGATGTAGAACAAATATCCAACAATGAATTCTTATCTTAAGTAGTTCCTCCGCAAAACAAATGGCCACCACAGTGCACTGGATTGCCTGCATAAATATTTCCTCTAAAACATAGCCAGTTTACAGTGATTATCTAATTAAGAAGGAACCACTGCAGAATAAAATTATAGGGAGAAATTCACTACCATTGGCTTTGCTTTCTTCCATTCTATGTTCTCTTCATAACAAATCAGATTCTTTTTCCCTGCAGTCTTTAAGCAATAAAGGCTTCTTTTTGGCTGAAGATGATCTCAAGCTAGCTCTGTGAGAACCAACCATGGACTCAAAGGGCTCAGTGCAGTGTGGAGACCTGGCTTCGAGTCACCACAGTCACATCTGTACACTGCTGCTTCAGGGTCCAAGATGATTCATCTATCAGAAAACTGCATTGCTGTAAGGGTTGAACTGGTTTGGACACTGGTAGCCAGGACATCTTTTACATTGCTCTGCTATACAGTGTCAACAAGCCCTTAAGGATTTGGACTGGGGTGCAGTTTCCTGGCATCCTTAACTCTTTGGGTTTTGTCTACAAATAACCTTTCAGCAGCAGGAATTAATTCAATTTTTAAATCACACACATCATTAGCAAGTCTGGTACAACTAGAGGTGTAGGTAAGATCTAAATAGCAAAATTTAAGTCACATTATACCACTTTTAGTGGTTATTGAAATTCAAGTTGCGTTGATTTTAGTAGACTGGCTGAGGAACTACATTAATTGAATTTGTTCTCTTCCATTTTAAAGCTGTCTAGAGGAAAAGCTTGAATAGTTTCACCACATTGGCTGTAATGAATCCTGATAAATGAAAGCAACATAATAATCAATTGGCTGGCAAATGTTACCTGAATTTTCTCCCTTCTTTTTTAAGACTGAGCAAAACTTTTCCCTTACAATTTCTCTATTTTTTCTTTTTTCGTAGTGTTTAAAACATATAAGCAGCACTTGTAGGATTCTCAGGAATAATATGATTATGTAATAAGACATACTTCAACTACAAAACTATGCTATACTAATTCCATGGGCCTCTCCTTTTCGGTGATGTTTCACTCTGTATCTTCGCCATTTACAGAAAATAAGACCTTTATATGAAGTTGGTCTTCCCTCTACAGCTCCCAGTGGAGTTTTCAAAGCTTTGAGAATTTAGTTTTGGTATGAAAATGTGACTTGCGTTCATATGCTCTTGCAGCAAACATCTTGAAAATACTTGGAAGTATGAAACAATTTCCGAGGGGACATATTTGATTGCTTTTGCATTTTTATGAGGCAAAAGGAAATAATAATTGAATGAAGGTTTAAATGAAAATGACAGTTTATTGGAATTTTACCTTTGCAAAATGTTCTTAAATCAAGCAGCAAGTTTTTTGTTTAGGAGATAAATTAGATAATGAAGCAAAATGGAAATAAATCCCTGTAGAGCTATAAACACTGCCTCTATGAAAATGACTTTATCACAAAAATACAGTTGGAATTTCCCCATCACAATAATTCAATGCTTCTCTTCTGCTTGTAATAAATTTATATTCTAATTTGCTTACAAATTTCTTAATTTTATAATAGGAAAGAGATGGTGTGTTTCTTAGTGGAAGTTGTTTGCCTGTTTTCCAGGAACAACCTCATTAAATGCTTTCATGTGATGTATGAGGGTATGGCCCCCTTCTTCTGGCTCTCCTATGAGATTTGATTACCATACGTCCTTTTAAAGAAATGGCAAGATCAAGTCAACTTTATACAAAACCATCCAATTGATATGAATTTATAGCAATCTCCTCCCCTAAATTAAGTTAAATGACATGCTAGAATAGAAGCAGTTCCAATAGGAGTGTTTAAAAGTGGGGGTGAGTTCCGATTTTGTATGCACGTGAGGCTTACAAAACCATTCTGCTTTGTTCAGATACTTCAGAAAGTCTTCCAGACAGAAGATACAATCATGTTACTGGAGAGATCCATACAGGCAAAGAAGCACCCACCGAGAGTGGTTCAGACGCTGCTGGAGGGAAGAACTAAACAACTCAATACAGAACTTTGCTGTGAAGCACTTCAGTTTCAGTAAGTAAAGGTTGGGCTACTCTGTCCCTTCCTTCATCAGCCACTCAAGAACAGGAAGTTTACTGGCAGTGTGAATCAGTTTGAGGAGATTAGAATTGCATTCATTACACTGCAATACAAATTCTGGGAGGAAGAAGTACAATCCAAGTAGCTATGTAGAAATAATGGGCCAAAACATCTAATGTTCAATGTGTGCAGTTGCCTTTAGAGTCCCTTTCCTAGGACAGTTAAGAGCTCAGTTGCTCGTTGGTGGCTGATATCTTTTGGGATTCAGTCTTATGCCTAAATTGGGACTTGGGAGTTGAATGAATTCCATTCTGTATGAAAAACAAGATTTCACTTTAGGAAATACGTAACTTTAGAAACATGTTATCCCAGACAAAATTCTGTCTTTTGATACAGAAAACAATCTAATAGTCAAGCTCCTTAAAAAGTTAGAAGAATGAAGCAGCATCTCAATTTTCTACTATATAGTGACTCCAGTATCATCTTGGTACAGGTTAGCTCGTTTGGCATATGTTTTGGTTATACAGTTGTGGGAGCTTCCTAGCACATGTTGGCATGAGCTTGGTGATCCCTGGGCTATGATCCATTTTACAGTGTACATTGTGTCTTTCTGGATACACAAGATGTCTGAGATACTAGCCTTCCTTCTCTAATGACCGAAGAAGGGTCTTCTGAATTTTAATCCCATTTATCTACCTCCAATCCAGATGGAATACTGATGTGTTCCAAAAGAACTCTATCAAGTATATCTTATTTAAAACACTGTCTTCAAAATGCTCTGCAGGGGTTGTCTCAAGAAATACTGCACCAAGGTTTCTCCTACAGCTAGAACGAATTTCACAGCCTAGTAAAGAATTTTGCATATTTTAATGAAAAGTAGAAAACTATTCCCTTTTTATTTTTGTGTACAACAGCTTCACATACAATGAGATTAACAAAGTACATAATGCTTAAACTGAATATCTGTATTATTTTCCATAAACAGTGTTTTATCAGCTCAAAAAATTTCTATTCAAACAAGGAAGTAGCAATAAATCACAGTTTATTGTACTGGCATATTTCCACTTTTTCTAACTCCTTAAACCATGAATTGTACAATGCAATATATCTTTTTTTCAGTCTCATACCTCTTTAATTGGATCTTGACGTTTCCTTTGGCATACCCATATATTAGACTTCAGCTTCATGCTCTGCTCTCCACATCCATTCTGTCACAAATTATTGTTTTGGATCTGAATTATTTTATATCCATTTGGACAGTTTTATTCACGTGGCTTTTCATATCACATAATCATGCCTGTTCTAGATGCAGGAGGTCAGCTGTGAGAAACCAAAAAAAGTTCTGATTACATCGTAGCATTCACTTAGCAGTTACATTTATTATGGAAACAGATCATTTGCTGCTTCAGTTACCACTACACCATCAATTAGGTATGCAAATAAGCTAGTATCAGCATTTTATTAAAAAAAAAAACAAACAACAAACCAAACCAAAACAAGATGGCCTTAAATATTAATACACAACTCCAGTTTTATACTCACTCTGAGTCTTGTTCTCTCTCTACTTCTTCCCTGAAGACCTCTTCCACAAAAGCATCTGCAGCACTATGATTGACAGCACTCTGGTCAGCAGGATTGCATGAATCCAAGATATAAGACTTGTCTGATTTAAGATCAAAAATGTAGAGCATCACATTATCCCTCCTTCTTCCCACAATTGCCAGTGATGCTGTTAATGTTCCAAACGGTCCTGTCTAAAAAAGTTTGGAAGCTTAATTTGAAGTCACTGGAACATCAGAATGTATTGTAATATTTTCTTCAATTAGAGTGAAAGGACATTAATGTGACATACTTAAAACCGATAGTACATAGAGGTTCTGAATCAGTCTAACTCCTACTGGCTTCTAGGTTATACAAGAGCTTCACAAGCTGTTGCACAGCTATCCACAAGTATTTTAGGCTTAACATACACGCAAGTTTTCTGTCAGTTTAATATGATTTCTAATATTTTAACCAAAATGTTTGTACAAGTATATTGTTTGCTAGATGTAGTTATGTTGACAGATAATTAGCATATCCTGTTCTCCTTCCTCCAGTGCGTATGAGTTTTCCTCTACCACAGCTCCCTAATCCAGACCAGGTTGTGTTGGATGCTTTAGGTGATCCAAATCATTGGAATTTTATGTTCATCATAACTGCAATTAGAAATAGAAATTCTGACAGGGTATTTGAAATTTGGACACTTTTCTATCACAGTTCCTGGTTAAGCTCACACCTCAAATAAAATGTATTTTCTTAAAAGACAAAAACCATTTGCTAATTCACTTTTTAAGGATTGTTTGCTTTTAAATAATTTGTTAAACGTATTCCTCATGTGGTTTGAAGAAAGAAGGAATTCAGCCCAATAGCTCAAATATAATAGG